CTTTTTCCTATCTGGTAATATTTCTTGTCTTGAATTCTACTATCTGATGTTAATACAATCACATTAACTTTCTTGTGTCTACTATTTGCATGGAATATTATTTTCCATCCCTTTTACTTTCAATCTGTGTCTTTTTACTTCAATCTGACTCTAGTAGCAGACAGCAAAGTTAAGCCTTGCTTTTTAATCCAGTTTCACAATCTTTGCCTTTTAATTGGATTTCCTACACCAGTAGTGTCCAAAAAAGACTGAAAGACACAACTTTAAATATTCTAGTAACCATATCAAAAAGTAAAAAGGAGTGAAATTAATTTCAATATTTGAACTCAATATATCTGAAATATTACTGTATCAACATAAGATTTTTTAATGAGATTCTTCTTTTTTGATACTACATCTTTGAAACACACGTCCTCCCAAATCATCTTAATTAGGGGTAGTCACATTCCAAGTGCTCAATGGCCTCATACGGCTAGCTGTTACCACATTAAACTAAATTAGTTTTGCCAATTTACATTTACAGACTTACAATGGGTTTACGTTTAACATCTAGCTATTTATTTTCTAATTGTCTGGTGTTTTGTTGTTATTCTTCTCTTGCAAAGTATTAATAAAATATCTGAATAGTATTCCATGTTAATTCCTCTATGGGCTTTTCTTTTTAAACAGCCTTTTTGATATATACTTCACATACAATAAGCTGCATATATTTAAAGCCTACAATGTGACAAATTTTGACCTATGTATTCATCTATGAAACCTTCACCATAAGAGGTATACATACCCACCACCCCCAAATTTCTTTGTGCCTTTGGCAACACCTCCTCCTTACTCTTCCCCACCTCTGAATTCCAAGCAACCACCAATGTACTTTTGGCTTGCATTTCCTAGTGCTTCATATAAATGGAATCATACAAAATGTATTTTTTTCCTTGCTTCTTTCACACAGCATAATTATTTGGAGATTTATCCCTGCTGTTGCACAGATCAATAGCTCACTCTGTATGGCTTAGCATTTCAATGTATGCAATAGAATACAATGCCCAAACAGTAATCACTTTTATCCATTCATCTGTTGATGGACATTTGGGTAGTTTTGGGTCTTCAATGGTACAAAAAAAGCTACTATGAACATTCATATACAAGTTTTTTAAGGAATATATGCCTTCATTTTTCTTGGGTTTTCTTTCTCCTCTTGCACAGGAGACAAACAGCTGGATCATACAGTACATACTTAACTTCAGAAACTGCCAAATTGTTTTCCAACGTAGTTCTATAATTTTACATTTCCATCAACAATATATGAGTGTTACAGTTCCTCCATATCCTTTCCAACACGGTACAGGCAGTCTTTTAAATTTTAGCCATTATAATAGGTGTGTAATGTTATCTCACTTTAGTTTTAATTTGCATTTCTCTAATGATTAATGATGCTGTAAGCATCTTTTTCATATGCTTATTTACCATTTGTGTATCTTTCTTGATGAACTATCAAGTATTTTTGTCAATTTACTAAGTTGGGTTGTTTTTGTTGCCTCACCTGTTCAGTTTTGGAGTCTATATAGTCTGAATTTATATATATTCTAGACAGCTTTATGCTTTGTAAAGACATTCTGCCTCTCCATGGCTTGTCTTTTTGTTCTTTTTTAAACTGATGAAGTCCTATTTATTCTTTTGCAGACTGTGCTTTTGAGATATCAAATTTTTGCTTAACCCAAGGCCACAAAGATTTTCTACTATGTTTTCTCCTACAAGTTTTATAATTTTAGGTTCTACATTTACGTCATGGTCCATCTGGAGCTAATTTTTGTATATCGTATGAGGTATAGACCCAAGTTTTTTGTCTTTTGTTTTTGCATATAGATAACCCAACTGTTACAGCACCCTTTGCTGAAAAGTCTCTTCTCTCTCCATTGAATTGCCTTTGTGCATCCGTCAAAAACCAGTTGTCCATTATTGCGTGGGTTTATTTTAAGTCTATTCTGTTCCACTGATCTATTTATCTTTCTTTATGCCAATGTGACATTATTGTGACTACTGGAGCTTTACAATAACTTTGGAAAACAGAGTCAGTCCTCCACATCCCCTCTCTTTGCTTTTAACTGTATTCCTTTGTATTTTTTAGAGATTATTTCAGTACGCAACCTTAACTTACTAGAATCTACTTGTGTTAGAGTTAATATTCTTTCATTTCATGTAAAATATAAGAACCTTACAACTGTAAAATTCCATTTATCTTTACTTTGTGCTAATTGCTGTCATATAAACATCTATACACATAATAAACCAAATACAAAGTTTTTTTCTTTATACAGAAACAGTGTCTTTCAAAGAAATTCAAAGGATTAAAAGAGGAGTCTTTTTAACTTTTTTCTAGTGTCATTCCATTCAGCCTAAACAAATCAGCTTTTTTCTTTCTTTTAGTGCAAGGTGTCAGTCTACTGTGAGATGTCTTTTTCCTGCTTGTTTTAAAGATTTGTTCTTTATCATTAGTTTTCAATATATTGACTATTAACTACCTAAATGTGTTTCTTTTTATCTATCCTACTTGATATTTTTCTTCAAATGTTTTAAGTTTTCAGCAATCTCTGTCTCAATTACAATATATTTGGCCCCATTCTCTTTACTCCCACTCTAGAACTCCAATTACACATATGTTGGACTGCTTGATTGTCCCAAACATATATTTTGTTCTCTCTGGTAAACTGAATAATTTCTGTTCATCTGTACTCAAGTTTACTAACCTTTCTTCAGTTGTCTCCAATCTGATGTTAGTCCCAACCAGTGAAATTTTCATTTCACATACTGTATTTTTCAGTTACAACATTTTCTATATGCTTTCTTTATAGTTCTCTTTCTTTCTTAACATATTCCTCCAAGCGTTCACTCATCATTTCAAGATTTTCCTTTATAGCTTTAAAAAATATTTATAATCTCTATCTGCTAATCCAATATCTAGGTCATTTTGGGGTCTTACTATTGCATGCTGCTTCTCTGATTTATGGAATTTTTTCATGCTTCTTCACACGATTTATAATTTTTGATGGTATGCAGGATATTATGGATGATAGTTGTAGGAAGACTGAATCATGGTCTTCCCTAGGGGATGTTGTTTTGTTTAGGCAGGCAATCAAACTACTGATGAAGCCTTCATGTCTTGTCAGGCTAGACTATCTCAGTTTCTTAACTTGGTATTATGGTTGTTGGCACTTAGTACAGTGAGTGATTCTTTCTCTTAAAGCCTAGGCTTTTCGTAGTTTAAACTGAATGTCTGAGGAACTCTGCAAGATGTCTGCATTCTGACTTCCCAGAACTCAAATGTCTCAGAGCACTGCACAACTTTTGGAATCACCATTCTAGCTCTTAGCCCCAGTGCAGGTCATTTCTGATAGACCATGCAGAGTCCCAACCTGTACACATACAGCCCAGGCATTATTCAAAATTCTAAATGAAGTGAATCCCCACACCGAATTCTGTCCCCTGCCCTAAGCCCTGGACAACTTTTTTCAGGACCCTTCTCCACAAATCCCAGATGTCTAAGCAGCTCCACAAATCTCAGATGTCTAAGCAGCTCTAAGTTCCAATCTCAGTTTCTTCAACTCAATCAGACCTCCATGCTCTGCTTAGGCTCCACCCTCCCTGTGCTACCACAGTAGGGTACCCCAAGGCAGACAGCCAAAGTGACCACAAGACTCACCTCATTTTATTCCCTTCTCTCAAGGATCATTGTTATCTTGTAGTGTCTGCTCATCAATTCCAGACAACAAGTGTCCCATATATTTTACTCAGTTTTACAGTGTTTGATACAGGGGGGGTGAACATGAGGAGAGAAGGAAAGGTTGCTACTAGTTACTCTGTCATAGCCCTACATATTAATTTTTAAAACATTTCCATTATCAATTGCTACTATGTATAGTTTTAAGAAAATTAAACCAGCAGAGCAGAGTTACAGACATTTGAGTCTATTTGTTCAATTATTTGTACATGGTACTTTGACTATCAAAACCATGGCCTAGTGATTTTCTTTGTAATCATGACATGCAAAAGTCAGTACTAATGATGTGTGGACAAATTCATTTTCACCTCATTATGACTATACTAGGTAAGTACTTCATTTTAGTTTTTACTTAACTGAACTGTCAGAAACGTGCATCTGCGTGCCACAGTGTACATATACACAAGCAATGGCTATATGAAGGAAATTAAAATGCTTCCAGTCTTTTACAATCCCTTTATTGCCCAATACAATTAATTCCTCAAGTAGGTAATTCAGAGACAGTTTAGATAAAAGAACTTTGATTTTAAGTAAACAACGTAAAATGTAAGGTCTTACGCAAACTACTTCAATCATCATCATCATCATCAGATTAAAATTTTGGCCCATCAGTCATAAAACTAAGGTCTAAAAATTAGTCTGTATTTATTTACAAACAGACATTACAAACAACCAACGTTACTGCAGACATACAATGTAAGAAAAAAACCTTAACTATGAAGATTAAATAAATCATCCAAGTAGATGAAGTAATTTCCAAGTATGTAAATAAAGGAACTCAATTAAAAGAATTAAAATACTGTTAAGGCAGAGAAAAAACATTGAAAGTACACAAAAAAGACAACTATGTAGTTGAATCTTTTGGTTTTTATTTACAGTTTGGGCTTTAAGACTTGTGGGATAGAGAATACTAAAATTATTCTAAGACACACAAACACTAAAAACAAAAGTACAAAAGTGGCAAGAATGAGGGGACTTACAACATGAAAGAAAAGGGTTATACTACTAAGTGATACAAAAAAAATCAGACTTAGTTACTTGCCCACAGAAGTCACCATCTTCAGGTTTTTTCATTTGACATATACATACTCTAGTAAAATTTCCTCTAAAATGTTTCAACAGAAAGCATTTAAAAATAAAAGTTATTTTGGTAAAACAGACTACAGTTTAATACTCTGCCCCAAAAAATGGCAAAGAGTGACAGCCTGATAAGAGTAACACTTACCTGTAACCACCATGCTGCTCATATTCGAGTTTGGACTACTGAGAACACTGCCAGAGAGCAGTTCGTCAGATCCTCTCTATAAAAACAAACACATTAGCATAAGACAACTTTAAATTTAAAAACATTAATCTGAAGGCCTGTCACTTATCTGTAACTTTTCAAATATTCACCGAAAAACAAACGTCAGGTATTACACTACTGGAAATAGTTAAAAAATTTAATCCCTAAAATAAAAAATTAACTCCACTCTCCTATCAATCTCTCCCTATTCCGCAAAACCAATAGTTTTTCCTTCCTTCCTTTCACCCAAGTCTAGAAGACAATAAATAGGAAAAATGATTAGGTTCCATAATCAAAAAAAGCTTTGGAGAACCACCTCAATTTTTTCATAAACAAACTAATGCCACAGCACTGGACTTTTTCACAAATACTCTGACTCCTCCAATCCTACAGCCTTTAATCATCCAGATAACTGAGAAAATCAGAAACTTCAGAAAATCAGAACTTTATACTGGTGAATTGGACAACTAGTCTTCATGATCACCATTAAAATTAACAATTAGGTATATACTTCAGTGGCTACAACACTGAAAGCAAAAGCAAAATCTATGGAATGAGAAATTTCTTCCTGCCAGTATAAAAAGAGATTAAATCATGTCTTTAAATCCCTCAGAGAAAGGGTTATAAATTAATATGTTCTGGGAACTGCACAATTGTTCAAACCAGTCAGTGTTGTTTTACCTATTTTTAAAAAGTGTATGTTTACAAAAATGTGTGAATAGACTAATATTGAAAATAGCTAAATCAACTGTTTTGCCTATTTTAAGTATGTGTATATTTACATACATGGATATTAATATTTAAAATAGGTAAATTAACAGTAGTTGATTTAAAAACCAATCAGAATAAAGAAGTTGAATGCAACCATCAAAATGAAAAAATGTATAATATAAAGGAGACAATTTATCAAAGCATCTCAGGAAGTTCAAGACAATCCAAATTAACCATAAACCTTATGCTAATTTGTTGTTAAATTTATAATAAGCTGTATTATAACAAAGATCAAAAAGGTAAACAAATATTTGTAGCTCATCTCCCAAATTGTTTTAAAAGCTTTCTACTCACTAGCATCAAATGCTCAAGAGAAATACAAGCATGAGAAAAATAAAAACATAGCATTGAGCCACATTAATACCATACTTGCATCATACCTAATCTGTTATCAAGGCATGGAAGATTCAGTATGGCATACTTTTAAAAGGACATGACGAACAGATTTGATACTTTAGGGATTCTCAAAGTGTGGTGCCTAGACCAGCATTAGATTTGGAAACTTGTTAGCAAAAGATGTTCTCAGACCCACTCAGATCTACTGAATAAAACCCTGAGGGTAGAGTCCAGCAACCTGAGTTTTAACAACCCCTCCAGGTGCTTCTGATGCATGCTAAAGTTTAAGTACCACTGATATGCATCATTGGTTTACTATCAACAATAAAAATGTTTCCTAGTTTTATTTTTTTAGAGCAGTTACAGGTTTACAATAAAATTGAGGAGGAAAAGGAATTTCTCATACACTCTACCCCCACAAACGCATAGCCTTCCTCATTACCACACTGCCCAAAAGAGTGGTACATTTATTACAAAGGATGAACCTATACTGACACATCATAAGCACCCAAAATCCACAGTTTACCTAAGAAGTTCACTCTTGATGTTGTACATTCAGTGGGTTTAGACAAACGTACGATGACACATATCCATCATTATAATATATCGAGTATTTTCACTACCCTATACATCCTCTGTGCTCTGCCTATTCATCCCTCCCTCCAACCTACTCCTACCAACCACTGATCTTTTTACTGTGTCCAGTTTTGCCTTTTCCAGAACATTATATAGTTGGAATCATACAGTATGTAGCCTTCTCAGAGTGACTTCTTTCACTTAATATGGATTTAAGGTCCTTTCTCATGGCTCAATAGCTCATTTTGAGTTACTGCTGAAAAATATTCCATTGTCTGGGTGTACTACAGTTTAATCATCCATTCACCTACTGAAAAAGCTTCACCTTGTGACCTCTTGGTTGTTTCCAAGTTTTGGCAATTATGAATAAAAGCTGCTATAAACATCTGTGTGCAGGTTTTTGTGTGAACGTAAGTTTTCAACCCATTTCGGTAAATACCAAGGAATGCGATTGCTGGATCGTATGCTAAGCGTATGTTTAGTTTTGTAAGAACTGCCAAATTGTCTTCCAAAGTGACGATACCATTTTGTATTCCCACCAGCAATGTATGAGGGTTTCTGTTACTCCACATCCTCATCAGCACTTATGGTTGTCAGTGTTCCAGATTTTGGCTATTCTGATAGGTGTATAGTAGTTATCTCGTTGTTTTAATCTGTATTTCCTTGATGACATATGATGTGAAGCATCTTTTCATATGCTTATTTGTCATCTGTATATCTTCTTTGGTTAGGTGTCTGTTAAGGTTTTTGGTTCATTTTTTTAATCAGATTTTTCTTATTGTTGAGTTTTAAGAGTTCTTTGCATATTTTGGGTAACAGTCCTTTATCAGATTTATCTCTTTTTTTTTTTGAGGAAGATTAGCCCTGAGCTAACATCCACTGCCCATCCTCCTCTTTTTGCTGAGGAAGACTGGCCCTGAGCTAATATCTGTGCCCGTCTTCCCCCATTTTATATGTGGGATGCCTACCACAGCATGGCTTGACAAGCAGTGCCATGTCCGCACCGGGGATCCAAACTGGCAAACCCCAGGCCACCAAAGTAGAACATGCGCACTTAACTGTTGTGCCACTGGGCCAGCCCCCAGATGTATCTTTTGCAAATATTTTTTACCAGTCTGTGGCTTGCTTTCTGATTTTCTTGATAGTCTTTCACAGAGTAGAAGATTTTAATTTTAATGACGTCCAGTTTATCAATTATTTCTTTCATGGATTGTATGTTTGGTGTTGTATCTAAAAAGGCATCATCACATCCAAGGACATCTAGGTTTTCTCCTATGTTATCGTCTACTAGTTTTGCATTTTACATTTAGGTCTATGATACATTTTGAGTTAATTTTTGTGAAGGGTGTAACATCTGTGTCTCAATTCCAGTTGTTCCAGTAGATGTCCAGTTGTTCCAGCAGCATTTGTTAAAGAGGCTATCTTTCCTCCATTGCATTGCCTTTGCTCCTTTGTCAGAGATAAGTTGACTACACTTATGGGGAGCTCTACTCCGGGCTCCCTATTTCTGGGCTTTCTATTCTATTCCATTGATCTATTTGTCTATTCTTTCACTAAAACCACATTGTCTTGATAACTCTAACTTCATAGTAAGTCCAAGTCGGGTAGTGTCAGTGCTCCAATTTTGTTCTCTTTCAATACTGTGTTGGATACTGAGTCTTTTGCCTCTCCATATAAACTTCAGAATGTTTGCTGATATCCATAAAATAACTTGCTGGAATTGTGATTAGGATTGCACTGAATCTATAAATCGAGATGGGAATTAATAACATCGTGATAATACTGAGTCTTCCTATCCACAAACATGGAACAACTCTATTTATTTAGCCCTTTGGTTTCGTTCATCAGAGTTTTGTCATTTTCCTCACATAGATCTTATTTATATTTTGTTAGATTTATACTAAGTATTTCATTTTTGGGGGGCTAATGTAAATGGTATTGTGTTTTTAATTTCAAATTGCACTTGTTCATTTGTATACAGGAATGCAATTGACTTGTATATTAACCTTGTATCCTGCAATCCTGCAATAATTGCTTATTAGTTCAAAGAGATTTTGTTGATTCTTTTGAATTTCAAACATAGACTATCATGTCATCTGCAAACAACGAGAATTTCATGTCTTCTTTCACAATCTGTGTATCTTTTTATTTTCTTTTCTTTCCTTACCACATTAGCAAGAATTCCAGTAGAATGTTGAAAAGTGGTGGTGAGAGGGGACATACTTGTCTTGTACCTGATCTTAGGGAGAAAGCATTGAGTTTTTCACCATTAAGTATGACAGTACTATAGTTTTTTTGTAGATGCCCTTTATCAAGTTGAAGAAGTTCCCCTCTACTCCTAGGTTACTGAAAGTTTTTATCATGAATGGGTGTTGGATTCTGTCAAATACTTTTTCTGCATCTACTGATATGATCATGTGATTTTTCCTTTTTTCTAGTCTGTTCATGTGATGAATTAACCTAGTTTTCTTTGTTTTTGTTTTTTGTTTTTTGCTGAGGAAGATTCACCCTGAGCTAACATCTGTGCCAATATTCCTCTATTTTTCAGTGTGTGGGTTGCCAGTACAGCATGGCCGCTAACAGAGCAGTGTGGGTCAGCGCCTGGGAACCAAACCCAGGCCACTGAAGTGGAGCAAGCTGAACTTAAGCACTAGGCTATACTGGGGCTGGCCCAAGTTTTCTCTGTTTTTATGATAAGTATGCAATATGGCATTAAGAAAAAGTGCTCTGCAGAGCAATTAGGCAAGAAAAAGAAATATTTAAAGGTATCCAAATTGGAAAGGACAAAGTAAAACTCTTGCTGTTGGCAGAAGCTATGATTCTATATATAAAAAACCCTAAAGAATCTACCAGAAAACTATGAGAAATAATCAACAACTACAACAGAGTTGCAGGGTACAAAATCAACATAAAAATCCGTTGCATTTCTACACACTAATAATGAACTAGGAAAAAGAGAACTGCAACAAAAAGAATAAAATATCTTGGAATACATTTCACCCAGGAGGTGAAACACCTACACAATGAAAACTACAACACGTTATTGAAAGAAATCAAAGAAATAAACAAATAGAAAGATATTCCATGTTCAAGAATTAGAAGAATAAACATAGTTAAAACATCCCTATTACCTAAAGCAATCTACAGATTCAATGGAATCCCAATCAGAATCGCAATGACATTCTTCACAGAAATAGAACAAAGAATCCTAAAATTTATAAGGAACAACAAAAGACCCCTAATAGCCAAAGCAAACTTAAGAAAAAAACAACAAAGCTGGAGGCAAAACAATCCCTGACTTCAAAATATACTACAAAGCTACAGTCATCAAAA